AGTTTGACCGAAGGGTTTTCGAAGTCGAGAATTACGAATCTCAAATCAGGTTTTACATATTATATAAACAGAAACTTCAGTGATATTATAGAGGATGATTTCTACGAGAAAGAGCTGAGCGAGTCCACAGACGAGCGTTACTTGTATATATATTTCTTTTTTGCTTTGTTGGTTTTTTACAACTTTCCTTTCTGGTTAGAATTACTCATTCTGTTTATTTGCCAAAGAATATATGGGAATGTGAATTAAAGTTGGTTTTTTCCTCAATAAAAAGAAAAAAATATAATAGAATATTCCCTTCGTCAGTATTAAAAACTAACCAAGTAGTTTGTGTATATTGATTCATTTCAGATTAAAACATCAAATGGATGTCGACGAAAACACTTCAAGTGATCCAATAGTTTCTTCAAATCAAACAGATTTTGAACAGATTTGGCTTTCAATTGCAACTGATATTATAATTCGAAAGTTTGAAAATTTAGATGATATACTTGAATTTCATCAATTATCTGATCATTTACAAAACGAACTTAAAGATACAGTTATATCATTAAATAATAATTATAAAATCTTTTATGATGAACAAGAATTGAAAAATTTTCATGTAATATTATATTTCAAAGATAAAGAAAAATATCTTGCAATATTTGAAGAACAAACTCAATCACAACAAATACGTACAATAATCAATTCTATGGGATTAATGTCATTTTATCAATATCTTTCGAAATTTATCAGTAAAGATTCTGAACAAAGACAAACATTAGATAATGATCATGAGGAACAATCTCAACCAATCGAACAAAATAATTCGAATAATACCGAATCATCGAGTTGTTCGAAATTTTTTGGCAAAGTTCCAAATATTAATATACGGCAATATATACCAACATTTTCTCGCGAATCATCTTCAACTTCGACATCATCGTATAATAAATTGGTTGAAAATTGTATGCTGCGTAAACTGGAAGGCATCTCAAATACGAAATAATTAGAGTTTGCTATGCCATAAAATTTTATTGTTCTGGTCTTTTTTTTTCGAAAGAAACAAAATCATATCCGATTAGTTGATTTCCGATATTAACAACATAGAGTACAACTAATACCAATTTACTGGATTACCATGAAGGATAAACGACTAACTAACGGGTGGGCCATAAAGAATGACACTCTCAGTATTTTCCAAATAACTCATCCATTTTGTACACTATCGAGCTAATTGTTTTTCCAAAAGATGCGCCATCAAATTCTCTACAAAAGTGTCTAGTTGGTTATCCTATTCCCATTCATAGTGAATTTTCAGGATATGAAAAGTAAAGACTTACAAAAAGTCATACTTTCAAACGGCTGCAGTACCGTAAATCACGATCTCAATATTTTGACTATAACGTTTTCATTTCCTATCGTATTGAGCTGTACGTGTTCCCAATAGATGCGCCGTCAAATTCTCTACAAATCTGCCCAAGTTGTTTTTTTCATTGTCATTTTTTAAGAGATAAAAACTGAGAGTCTGTAAAAGGCGTACTTATTCACAAATGAATTAAAATGGATAGTAACGAGTATTGTTAGTGTAATTTTTTGATTTTGTACTCAATCGAGCAATTTTTCTCCCAAAAGATGGGCCATGAAATTCTCGACAAATATGTGTAGATCCTTTTCCCATTTCCTTCTATACTGAATTCTCATGACATGAAAAGTGAAAACTTCTGAAAAATAATGCTTTTCATGGAATATATCAGAGTCAACAGTGGTCTCTGTATTTTACCTGTAATTTTTTCATTTTTCATGCTAACCAGCTAAGGTTATTTTTAAAAGATGCACAATAAAATTCTCCGCTGAATTGTATACTTTATTTCACCTATGTTGGTTTTTGATAGGCGATTAGTTGGAAACGGTACTTTGAAAGTATGACTTTTTGTAAGTCTTTACTTTTCATATCCTGAAAATTCACTATGAATGGGAATAGGATAACCAACTAGACACTTTTGTAGAGAATTTGATGGCGCATCTTTTGGAAAAACAATTAGCTCGATAGTGTACAAAATGGATGAGTTATTNCGTTCTAATCCGCCAAAAACACAATAGAAACTGAATAAGTAGTTGTTTGATACTGAACTTTATCTTGAACAGGAAAATCAATAGAACATTGACCATCGAATACAACACATTTACCAAGAAAACAATCTTCGATTGTTGGTTGACCGATTAACGTATAATTATTCGTAAGAACACCACTGGAATCGTGTCCAATATTATTAATATCATCAAACTTCCACCATCCGATGAGTTGATCTCGATTGAGACCATTTACAAAATATTTATTGAGAAACCATTCATTATTGATGATTTGATGCCACAAATGACAAGTAGTTGAAACACGAAGAAGTAATGAAATAGGTCGAATAAATCGAAAGATTTCGGACAATAATTCATGTGGAAGATCATTGATAGAAATCTGTGAATTGATCATCTTCTATCTTAACAATAAATAAATGTGATAAGAAGAATATCATTTATCAAACTCTGAGCCTCTACAGAGAATTGAATTCACTTATTTAATAAGATATGTGTCGCCACACATAGAAATCAATTATAATTTTTATTTTTCAAATTGAAATATTCATAATGTTATTTTTAATTAAATTCAATGTCAAATCTTTGAATTCGATCATTTCCCCAATCAGCAACATATAAATTTCCATCAATATCAAATGATAAACCAGTAGGATTGTATAAATTTGTTGATCCATCTTGACCAACAACGATTTCACTTTTATTATCATTTTCATTCCAACGCATTATTAGATTATTATTACTATCAACTACAAAGATTTGACCAAGATCAGTAACGAACAATCCAGTGGGACCATTTAATTTCTCAAAAGTATTTTCATGGTAAATTCCACCTGCAACAAGAATTCCTTCTTTGGCATCTTTTTTCCATTTCATTACACGATTATTTTGTTTGTCTGAGACATAAAGTGAATTTGATTTATCAATATGAATAAAAAAAGTTGCATTCAATTGATTTAAATTATTTCCTTTTCCATTTCCACCAGCAATTAATGTTCCTTCTTTCTCTCCTATTTTCCATCGTCTTATTTCGTCCTTCTCATCATCTGCAACTTAAATAAATCCATTTTTATCTATTGCTAAGATGAAACCATTGAATAACTCGTTTATTTCCACCATCACAAATAATTAAAGAATTCTCTTGTTTATTTCTAATGACACACATAGGACCATTCAATTGATCATATAAATTTCCTTGACCTCGATTACCAACAATAATTTCACCAATATTATTATTATATTTCCATTTAACAATTCGATGATTTGCCCAATCAGCACAATAAAGATTTTTTTCATCATCAATAATAATTCCTTGTGGATATTTCAAATGTTGAAGACTATCTCCAAATCCATGACCTCCAGCAATTGTTGTTCCATTTTGTTTCCATGAACTGTTCTTTGATAGAAGAATTTGTTGGGAAACTAAATTCAAACGAGAATGTTTTGTGAGGTTTTCAAGTGAATTGTTCTTATTTGTAAAATTATACTTAATATTGTTGATGTTATTATTTGAATTGTTGATTCTTCTTTTGATATTGTTGTTGGAATTGTTGTGATATTCTTTTTCTTCGTTATTTTGACAATAATGATGGGAATGATCACAATAATAACAATCAAAATCATCGAAGATATAAACAAAAGAACATTTTTCTTTCGAAATCTTTCATTTCTGAAAAGAAATCAAAATGAAAAAATATTTTTCTTATTGAAACACAAACATACGATGTTACAGATTCAACTGTATTAAGATCGATTGATGTGAACTATGAAAAATAAATGAAATCGAATATTGATTATCTTTTTTTGAAAAATTTACTTTGGAAATCATTTTCTTGTTCTTATTCATCGTTGATATTTTTCTTCTCTTCAAGTCTGAGAAAAGTGTATTGAGTAAAATACTTTCTAGGAATAAAGTAAGTTAAAAACATATTTTATATAATAATGGAATATTTTCTTTTGTTATGCGCATAAAAAGAGTCTCAAATCAAAAAACTCGTTTTGAACATATGGTTCTATGAAATGAATTATTGAACATAATTGTTTGGTGATTCTTATCAATACGGAAATCATGAAAAGTAAATTTATAATGTGATAAAGGTGAGAGTGAAGATATGAATATTCTGTTATCTCCCGCTGTCATTCTTAAACTACTCTTGCAGACTATAATAAGTTGATTATATGTTATCATCATCCACATCTTTTGTTTCTCTATTTGAAACTATCTGATATCAAACAACATATGAAAAAGTGTGTTGACACAAACAGAAAAATAGAATTCTGATCGGATTTGTCTTTTACATTTACAATCTTTGTTGTATTTATATTCACACATTTTCTTGTAATTATTTTATTCTTCGAAAGAATTTAGTTTCTCTAAAACTGTGTTCATTCTATTGTGATTATTAGTTAAAATCATTGTCGCTATGTAAAACAGATCTGTAATCAACTAACCAAACTCAAATTTATATCTTGGGATGATATTCGACAGAACTTCAATGTCAAGTATTGGTGTTGGTATATGTTTGGTTTGATTACATGTTTTCATCTGAAAAGTGTTCAAATTTGAGTTGATAAAAGAATATCATATGTTAATGAACATTGATAATTGTTGTAGAAAATGAAATTTACTATCGATAGATTTTGATTTTTATAGAAAAGTAAAAAACTCATAAAAGAAAAAAGTTCCGAATTACATTGAATTGTGATTTGTTGTTATTAATATAGATTATTCATCTGATGAACTATGTAGTGTCACATTTCGATATTGATGATAGTCATTATGCAAATAGTTTGAACGCAGTTCTACATAATCGATTTCAAATAATATGAAGGGTGATGATTATGAATATTAAATTTCAAGTCGAAAAGCTAAAAAGAGTTAATACATTCGATGGATATCATAGAAACAATGAGTGGAAACGTGTCTGTTCGCTTTTCTTCAAATTTTGTTCGTTGTGTATTTTAGTAAAGGATAGACGATGTCGAGTAGTTTGAATCTGATGCTATTTCTACTGACTTCTTCAGTAATTCAGTTATAATTAAGTTTCATCTAGCATCATTTGAAGTTAAAAAACAGGAGGCTCTATAGTTTTAGTTTCGAGTACAGCTTTTCTGGATGAAGAACTGTTCTTCTTTTTTCAAAACATGCTTCACATAGTTGTGTGAATAGTTTACTGTGAAGCTGAAGTTGGTTCTTGACGATGTAACTCGTGGTCTGTGTATGTTTTTGTTCGATTATGAAAGAAGAAACGCCAGATATGGACGATTTTGTGTTCCTAGATCACAATCCGATACATAAACATCAGATGAACCAATAACATTCTGGAAATATAATGAGGTATGTGGAAAAATCCTATTTCATTTCTATTAATCAGTGGAATAGAAGTTGTGTTGTTTTATAGTTTGTTTCGATAATCATTTCAACAAACGATTATCAACTGGAGAAATAGAATAGCAAGAAGTATATTTATTTGGTTTGGAAGTGAATGAAAAGAAGAAGAAGATATAAATAAGGTATTCAAACGAACGATTAGACAGTAGTTTGTGAGATTCCTAATAATCAAAATTAACCATCGAAAATGAAATTTTTGGAATTAATGAAACAATTTGATTTATAAACTAGAATAAATCTTATCTTCTTTTCAAGTATTGGTCAGCATCGATATTCTCACAGAAAACAGTTGACAAATTTAATGGAGAAATGTTACTTGCAATTCTCTATGCATCTAAATCAGTTTTTATCACGAAAACTCACGATAGGAACTGTACTGTATTCTTTGATGAAGATGTGTTTGAGCTTTTAAATAATCGAAGAAAAGACACGATCGTATTCTTCATCACATATTTTTATTCTCGAAATGAATTTTAATTGAAGTAAAAAAGGGAATACAGTTTCTGAATGAAACAAAGTAACAATGCATAAAAACAGGAGTCAATGGTGACGAAGTAATTCAAAAGCTTCTCTAGGTTCTAAAATGCGTTGCAATCGAAGTTTGTGTCTTTGTTTGGCATTGATGTTCATTGGATTAAACGTATTGGCGAATTTGACAAATGCAGCGTACAATACCACAGCATAACTTGATGCCAGGATCACATACATAATAGGTGTCATCAACGCTAGTGCTTGCGAACATGTCATTTCCTATTATATTCAAATGCAAAACACATTTATACCAACAATTTCCTTGACATAAGAAAACTTACCAAATCTTTTGGATACATAACAGCAACTGTCGATTTAGTTGTCGATCCTGACGTAGTTGGTCCCACTGTTGTTGGAGCTGAAAGAGAAACAAAATAGTTAGATGATTGCAAAAAGTTCTTACTTACCAGCTGTAGTTGGAGGTGAAGTAGATGTTGTTGTTGCATTGGTTGTAATTGGAGTAGTTGTTGTTATGACAATGCCAGTCGTTGTTAATTATCAATCACTCGAAGTATACTTTAAGTGTGAATAGAAGATGACTGAACTTACGAGAGTATTGATACTTGTTGTCGATGTTGGTTTTGTTGTCATTGTTGCAGTTGTGAAGGGTGTGGTAGTCGTTGTGGTTGTACTCGATACCGCTGGATTCCAGATGTTGAATCGCCAAAATGAAGGATCAGTAATTGGTGTCGATTCAGCATCTTCAAAGTTAGATGAGTTGTCTATATATGACGAAAAGTGAAACTTACGATAAAATTCACTTCCACTAGCAAAACCACTGTCCATTGTGATATAATAGAACTTGCCAGGTGACCATGTGTAATTTGTAATAATGACAATAGTATATCCTGTATAGATGATATTAGGTGCATAGCCAGCATCATACCATAAAACAGTAGCATTTGTATCAGCATCTTTGAAACGAATGATAGTTGAATTACGAGTTGGACGACCAACCAAACTTGTTGCTAGATGATCAGAAATAGAAGGGTAAGGATGAGACTTATAAAAGATGAGTACCTTGTATGAGAAACATGGACTGATTCTGAAAGACAGTACCGACTGGACTTGCTGATCCTTGCACAAGTTTAGGACGAATGAGATCTGGTGATGTATAATCAACTAAGTATGTGATACACCACGAGTCTGACTGGAGACTGCTATTGTCGAGAGCACCAGCACAAAAGCCTTGTGGACCAGATTGTCCTACTACGGGTGTCCATGTCAATGTCATGACCCAAGTGTCTATGAAATAGTAGCTTGAAATGAAGCACTATCGAGAAGAGTGAAACACTCACTAGCGCTTGGATTACTGATAGCACTATGAGTCATTCCATATGGTGAACTGGTGACAAAATCGACGATGGTTTGACCCGGACAAAAGGTCTGAACAATGACAGTTTCATTGAGTTGAACACCTTGAAAAAGAGTCGATAGTAAGAGAGAGAACGGGAAAAGAGTGATAAATGATGCTTACCATATGGCACTCCAATACAAGCTGAAATAAATGAAGTGACATGATGGAAATAGAGTTGAAATGAGAATATTTTGTGATCATACCTCTGTTCGGACGAGCTCCGATGATCTGAGGACGTTGCGCACACGCACTACCAGAAGTTACATATACATAGAATAAGAACTGGATAGGAACAGAACTCATTGGACTTGTAGCAGCAGTGTTATAATAATCTTCGATTTGCAGAGCACAAGCATAATAAATATTGGCAGTTGGTAGAGTGAATGACAATGTGCAATTGGAGGCAGTCAACACAGTTCCAGCGGGTAGTCCGCTGCAAATACATCCACACTCATCAATACGATTGTAATTGGTTCCAGAATTCGAATCAGACCATCGACATTGTAGTATATCGGTGGCATCATTATCAGCCATTTGCACGACATGAGCAACAGCCACCCCTCTTTGATAGAATACAACAGGTAATGTGTTTGTGACAGGACTAGTGTTGATATAACCATCAGGTCTCAAGCCTAAGTTAAGTCGATTGACAATTGACCAAGCACCGGATGCAGCACGAATATAAAGACCCGTCATCCATGCACTCGATTGGTAGCCAATCATAATGGATGTCGTCAAGGGTAAGTTCAGTGTGTCATATCGTTCACCAGCCCATGATTGAATAATCACATTTGTTTGACAATCTGTTGTTGTCATAGCTGTCGAGAGTCCACCACTGGGATAAGTGGAACTTGTACAGTTTTTTAAGCAGATCATGGCTTCGTACACTGGAATGGGTGTTTGAGCAGCAACATTTGCTTCTGTGCAAGAAGGTGGACTAAAACTACCCCATATTCGATTCTAGAAGTATCTCTGATGTATGAGAATCTGTGCATTACTACCCGATGGTGTACTATTGAGTGGACGCCTAAGAACGAAGATGAAGAGCAGAATAGGAGATGAAAAATGAAAATTAATCTATTCACCATGATATGATACCACCTCGAAAATGATCTCCATTGGGCTTATCGTATAGGACAAGCAGAATGATAGAAAAGAGGTGGCAAATTCGATTCATTTCTTAGCAATACAGCTGTCGTTTGACTATTATATGTAGAGCGATGTCCTGATTTATGAGAATTCTCGGTTACAGAAAATAAAATAAAAGAACATTCAGGTGAATGGTTATGAAATCTGTGGCAGTACGGTAGGTACAAAAAAGATCAAAATACAGTTCATTTTGGTTTGTCGGTTTTCAAAAGCGAAACAAAGAAAATTGCGTTTTATAAAATAAGCAAACATGTTTTACCTTTTAAAACAATATGCATCATAGAATTTAGTCATTTTTTGTTTTTCTTTAATTATAGCAATATGCCTTCTCAAATTTGAGATGCTATAATCATCATTGTACAATTTCACAATTCGATGATAATTTTTCTTTATATACAAATTAATAGTACACATCGATATAAATGCGGAGACTTTCTTGTTCCGAATTTTGTTGAATGATCACTAGCAATACTTGGCCAATAATTAAACGGTGACATAAGCAGCTATGCTGCCGAAAGCTTGACAGGTACATGCGAACGCGTCCCATTATATCCCATAGAGATTTGATTGGAATGAAAATACAGATGGAATTGAGCATCTTGCGTGGTCCAAAACTTTTCACACTCAGACATCGAGTGCTTCTTTATCGAATGAGTTGGAAACTATATGAAAAGTATAGTTATATCAATGCGGTCTAAGATCTAATACGAAACGAAGAAAGACGTGAACAGGATAAAAGTATAGAGCTCATCACGTGACCAGGTGATATTAATTCATCAGCTAATCAAGAAAAATCTCATTTTGCTGATCTTCAACGATTGCTTATTGATTGAAATGTATGCATCTATACACATACATATGACGTTCAACATGACACACACATCATGTCTCGTGTCTAGATTGATCTTGATAGTTATCTGTCAGATATTAAATTATTTGAAGATATAGAAACTTTCATCTGTAAAAGATGAGGGTGACGTTCGAAGATGAATATTCAAATATTATAAAACTATAAATAATCCAAATAGATTAAAAGTTGATCAGAAAGAACAGATTTTCTACTGTTTTTCCACTATTGAAATAATTGCGCAATAATCGTTGTTACAATGAATCAAAGCTTCGCTTTTAAACTTACCAAATACCTTCAACCTGCTGACAGAACTGATCTATTATTTGAACAAATGTCTCGTTTTGAACTTTTTCAAATAGGCAAGATCAGTTTTCGAATGATTTGTTCCAACGACGAACATCACTTTGATCTGTCATCAGAAACGATGCAAAAGCTTGATATAGTCAATCTTGAACTTCAATGCGGTGATGAATTTCTAAATGTTCACCTTCTGTTCCTGAAAGCACTACAGGAAAAACTAACTATTTACGCTGTCTGATCAACGAAATCGAGGATAAAGAATTGGGCGATGTTCCACCACTGATTTTGCATATGTAAGTTATTGAATGGAAACTTGCCGAACACCGATGACAACGTGTTTATTTTTAGTAAATCGCAGAACCGACTACTTCTCCAGCATTCGAACTCGATTTTCATCATTGAAGATGGGGAGAACATTGTTCATGATTGAACACGTCATTCATACTTACCTAAACAGGTGGTTTCAAATTTGTTCAACCTTTCCGACGAACTACTCGAAGGCGTGATGGATCAAGAAGTGATTTGTACGTTCAATCACGATGTTTAAAGTATCGATCAAGCTCTTCTATGTGATGGAAGATCAGCTATGGAATACATGGGCAACAAACTGAGTGTCGAAAATGCTCATCGCCTATGTGTTCATCTTGGTTTGGAAGAATACGGTAATAGTATCAAAAGCCCGACTAGTTTAGTGGAAACACAAGTTCAAACAGCGGATGAGTCGATTGCAATAAATCAAGGTGTGTTACGAGATAAAAATATACAAATAGATAACTTGCTTAACATTTATGCTTAATAGATTAATAAGAGCGAAAATATAAGGTTTTGATTTATTTTTCGAACTGAAACAAAGCGATGAGAGGAAAATGATCAGAAGAATAACTTCGTGAGCGAATATCAATTACCGAGATAAGTTTCGGTTGTAGGCGCTGCGTTCGATCGAAAGAATTTTGATATAAAATCCAATCGACATGAAACCGATGCGAAGACCACGTGTCAATCATTGTTGACAGATTGATCTGACGAGAATATCTTATAAGCTTTTTCAAAACATCAATAAACGATGAAATATTTCTTGGAAATCCATGTGGTAGAATAACACCTAGACTATGATATGTGTACCCAAGTGTTTGTAATAATTGTAGACCATAGGTATTGATTATTGAACCCAACCAGCCATGGAATGTTGATGAGAATGTATTGGATGTACAAGTGAAGGAATGAGTTTTGCAAACCGTCCAAGTATCGTAGAGAAACTCCGATGAGGTCAAGATATTGTACGTTGTTTGTTGTGGAATAGAATTGAAATCTCCGAGTAGTAGAACAACATCAGTTGGATATTTTCTTTGCCATTCATTGATCGTTGAACGAATAATCTTGGCTTGTTCTTGTCGAGCTTGTTCGCTTTTGGCATCTAAATGTGTATTAAACACAAGTAAGTTGATCGATTCATCGGAAATCAGATGAAATCGTGCAACGTTTAACGTCCGAACAGCATGACTATTCCAATCTTTACTTCCAACTGTTCGAGGTGTTTTGGATAACCAAAGATAATCTTGATCCAATAGTTTTAGAATTTGACTATTATATAAGATTGCTACTTGAAAATCGAAGTCTGACGATGAATTAGGAGATCCAATCGATCGATAATAACTCGGTAGATAAGATAGCCAATGTTGGAATTGATTAGTTAATGGTTCTTGTACACAGAGAATGGTTGGTTGCCATTTTCCGATGGTTTGAGTTAAACGATGGATTCGTTTTGTAAAGTTATTCTCAGGATCATGCTCGAGAATGTCAACACGAATGTTGAATGTCATAACTGATAATAAATCCTGTTTGAAAGAGAAATATTTCTGTAACATATTGTCATCATCTTGTTCGGTATAACGAGGAAATGTAAGTAGAGAAGCGAAGAGAATGGGGATTATGACTGAAAGAAATAGAAACCATTTGCAGTTCATAACAGAGTATATCGTTGAAAATACGAATGCAATGCATAGAAAATAGTCTTATACCTTTGTATGCCAGACGTCTTCGTTCGATTGGATGATTATAAACTAGAGACCTCTATATGAAACTCGAAAATAATTAGATTCTATTGAGCAATGTCAATCTAACTTTCCATATTGATTCTACTATGAAGAAATGCATTATGTAAAAACGTTTCTTTGAAAATAGTCTTGACAGATAATTTTTCTAGGCAAACGGAGGAATCGAGTCACATGCACTTGTATCACCCTCACGAATAGTCTTAAAAGTGCAGATCAATGCTCGTCGACACACATGATCACAGTGCGATCCATCAGCATAAGATTTTGTATAATGCTTGTACACTGTACCCATTAGTGGTCCATCAATATCCATCTCAAGTCTTTTGATGAAATTATCCCAATCAACTGGAAACAAATTGTCCATTTGATAGGCATCCCGGACGCTGTATTCATTTTGCATTACCGTTCGATTGTAAAAGTTTGTTGCAGTCAAATTCATAATCACCGTGCGATGATCCAGTATCCAATAGGAACTCGATGAATATTCACCATCCATTGTATAAAGGCGATAGCCGGGATTCAGAGAAACTGCAGTTGTCAACGATGGTGCCAAATAAGCCTACAATTGTCAGGTATGCAGTATAAGTCGTTCATGAGCTGTTTTTATGGGAATGTACTTACTATCGAAATAGGCCGTTGATGATCATGTTCATCGTAGAAAATATTGAGTTCATCTCGGTGTGTATGACCATAAAATTGACCGGAGATCGTGTTTTCAAATCTATTCGTATGAAGAGTAAACAAAGTAGCATATACTTTCAGTTGTCGAACCTATTGATAATTCTATTGAAATTCCAACCGAATGCAGCAAGACACGTGCGTGGCGGATGATGAGCAATAATATGAACTTTTTCACCGTGAGTTTCTGCGTACTGTAACCATTGGATCAACTAGAAAGAACGCATCAGTTATTTTTTCGTACCATCCTACTAATTAACTAACCCATTCAAGCTGATTGAGTGGATCAGTTGCATTGATGAATAACCAATAGTTATCTGATGCATAATAGTTTGTATTGAGTGAAATTATTCGTAGACCAGGACGAACAATAGTTGTATAGAATCCTCCTCGAAGAATCGTTTCACGTGTTGTATTAGGTAAACCCAATGTATTTATCCAACTATCGGCCAATGATTGATATAACCATGAAATGTTATCCGAACGAATATTTGGTGTTGGAAACAAATTACAGGGAGCTCAAAAGGAATAAATATAGTAAAATTCAAGTAAAAGACGTTCATATCTCTACCTGCTTCATGATTGCCAATCGTTGAATAGATCATTTTATCTGGAAATGTTTTAGCCAATAAGTGGTTAATCGTGTTGATTGAATACAGTTGATCCGCACGCGATTGATTCCATATGTTGTGAGGTGGTGTATCGCCGGTATAATAGATAAAATCAATCTAAATAGAATGGATCATCAAAGCTACGAGATAATAGCAAAGGATGAGTTTGTCTAGCACTTTTTCTGTGTTTGCAGCGTAATTCAGTATCGTTTGGGCTGTCCAATATGGTAGGTCACAATGACCACTGGTTCCCCTGTAAATAATAGTCATATGATGTAATGCACAACATCAAATATTCAATAAGACAAACCAAAAGCCAGCAGATGGGCGACCAGGTACTATAATCGAAAATGAGATGTGTAGTAAATACTGATATATGTGTAGATCTTGACACTTACGAGGTGTACCCTTTCGGCAACACATTGGTTCAAGACAGTCTGCATTGGATCCTGGCTTGTACTGAAAATCCACATGAATGTCCGCTAAATGCAATATTTCCAACGTTGGTGATTCAGGCTAAAATATATCGGTCAACACACTGTTGATTATGTATAAGTGAACACTTACTGAAGGAGGTCTCGGTGGCAATGGTGATGGTTTACTATCAGGAATGGGAATAGTCCAGTTTAATGCCGGGTAGTCACTTTCTCGATTACAATGTAGAGCAAGTGAACATAACGCCTTGTCATTGTAATCAGTTAAAGAGATGACTTGAATGATGACATCCTGAAAAACTTTGTTCTCTTTATTTTATAGTTAGTTGATAATGCCAGTTAATTACTTTATATTCAAGTACCGATCCACGGCAAACATCAAGAAGTATTTTGAAGTCGTAGCAAACTTGAAGGGCGACAGTTTCGATAAATTCCGTTTGATTTGCTTCGATAAGTAATCGTATCTAATCAAGTATTCCAGAAAGAGAAACCGAATATCACAAACTTACTATAGGTAAGAGTACATGACACATCTTACAATATAATTCTTCTGGATTGTTTTGCTGTTGAAACACCCATCGAAGTGCGTTGATATTATGAGAATGTTCAAAGCGATGTCGATAGTTGATCAGAGTGGTCAAGAACTCTTCGTTGTTTTGTATGAGTTTGTTTGTGGACTGTTCTTCATGTCTATCGATTTGAATAGCTTTACCGTCAATTGTCAAAAAGGTAACGACGAAGACGAAAAGAAGTGGGGTGACTTCGTTTTTCATCATTGTTAAAATAAGAACGAAAACTTATGTGAAAACAATGGTTACATAAACTAATCAAAATGGCAAACTTATCTTTTATGAGAACTTTAATCTTTCAGGAGACACCAAAAAAGTGACCTCAAAGTGAAAAATGGTTTGAATACAAATAAATTTATTATATGAGACATTTTGTCGTAGCACGATGCTTTTTTATTGACATTGAATTGAAATGTAGATAAAATGCATTTCAATCGCTTATTTTTCTAAATTTGTCGAATGTCAACAATCGACGTGCAAATCTTGTCTGTCATCCAGATCACTCAAAGTCACAAATATCGTATTCGATGAATCCAAGCTCTTCATCAAAACTCATTTTTGAGACATTTTTCACTAGAAAACTGAGTTTTTTATAATATAGATCAAACTATGTAGGTTAAAAGCAGAGTCTGTCAGATTTCGTGTTCGAATCTACACAACCGATTGCAATAAAAACTCCGAACTTTTCATGATTTTTCGAAATTGAAAATTCAATCAGTTTATTTTTTACCAACCTCACAAAACTTAGTTCAGAATACTTTAATGTAATTGAGGGTGTGAAGACGTCATATCCAAAATAAAGCATACGAGTGAATAACGCAAAATTATAGGTGAAAATTTGTGAAATACTTGTAACAAGAGAATACATGGTACATGAACTGTTGTGATACATTGGTTGAGTGAAAAACAATACACAATACAATAGGATCGAGATTTCCAACACGTCAAATAAGATCCATATGATATTGAGATAGACTTTTGTTTCAAAGAGTGTTAAATGAAATGTAAAACACATCATTGTCATTGGTAGCGTTATTGATAGTCGTACTAGATATTTTCCTCAATGAAATCTACAAAAAGAACGAGTCTTCTTAGCATTAATGTCAGAGCGAAGTTTCTTAACAGTATTTATCGCTTCGCTCAATATGTGTGAGTTTTAGTTTTTGCATGAATTAGAGCGAAAGCACATATTTGTGACTGAATAAAATGTATCCGAAGAAAAGGAAAATTTGAAAAGACTAAACGATAAGAATTTGTCAATTCAATGGAAGAGTTTACGACGCTTGTTGGAAGAAAAATGCACATCCAATTCGTTCTTCCACTTCTGAATATGAAAAGAGTGTGTCACTAACAGCAAAAGTGAATATACGTATTTTAGTTTGTGAGAAAACAAGACGAGATGCTTGATTTTGAATGAGATTAAAACAGGGTGGAAGAAATCGAATGATACGTACATTCTCTGCTTGATTTATTTCAATTGAGGACGTTTTTCTCTGATCATCAGTGAAGAAGACATGCACACTGAGATGTTCTAAATCTCTCTGAAGATTCGATTCCGTCAGAGAGAGGTCAAAACTATCGTATTTTGAACATGAATTGTCATAAGTTCCTTTGAGTAATAATGAAATCATGTATGACTATTCGTTTGATTTACAAGCTAGTATGTTAGTTTTATCTTCAGTTTGACAAAATAGGAAAAAAAATGAAAATATAACTCATGTGATCATCAATGTCTGTCTATTTCGATGAACCATTCGAGATGATTGTTGATCCAGGCATTGTACTGAATTTGACTAAACCATCCGTTTTGAACATATCAGNACTAGTGTTGATATAACCATCAGGTCTCAAGCCTAAGTTAAGTCGATTGACAATTGACCAAGCACCGGATGCAGCACGAATATAAAGACCCGTCATCCATGCACTCGATTGGTAGCCAATCGTAATGGATGTCGTCAAGGGTAAGTTCAGTGTGTCATATCGTTCACCAGCCCATGATTGAATAATCACATTTGTTTGACAATCTGTTGTTGTCATAGCAGTCGAGAGTCCACCACTGGGATAAGTGGAACTTGTACAGTTTTTTAAACAGATCATGTCTTCGTACACTGGAATGGGTGTTTGAGCAGCAACATTTGCTTCTGTGCAATAAGGTGGACTAAAACTACCCCATATTCGATTCCAGAAGTATCTCTGATGTATGAGAATCTGTGCACTACTACCCGATGGTGTACTATTGAGTGGACGTCTAAGAACGAAGATGAAGAGAGCAGAATAGGATGTGAAAAATGCAAATTAATCTACTCACCATGAAATGATACCACCACGAAAATGATCTCCATTGAGCTTATCGTATAAGACAAGCAGAATGATAGAAAAGAGGTGGCAAGTTCGATTCATTTCTTAGCAATACAACTGTCGTTTGACTATTACATGTAGAGCGATGTCCTGATTTATGAGAATTCTTAGTTACAGAAAATAAAATAAAAGAACATTCAGGTGAATGGTTATGAAATCTGTGGCAGTACGGTAGGTACAAAAAAAGATCAAAATACAGTTTATTTTGGTTTGTCGATTTTCAAAAGCGAAACAAAGAAAATTGCGTTTTATAAAATCAACAAACATGTTTTACCTTTTAAAACAATATGCATCATAGAATTTAGTCATTTTTTGTTTTTGTTTTTCTTTAACTATAGCAATATGCCTTCTCAAATTTGAGATGCTATAATCATCATTGTACAATGTCACAATTCGATGATAATTTTTCTTTATATACAAATTAATAGTACACATCGATATAAATGCGGAGACTTTCTTGTTCCGAATTTTGTAGAACGGTCACCAGCAATGATTGGACCTATCACGTAACCAGGTGATAATAATTCATCGCAGATAATTAAGAAAAATCTCATTTTGCTAGTCTTCACGATTTCTTATTGATTGAAATGTATGCATCTATACACGTACGTATGATGCTCAACATGACACACACATCATGTCTCATGTCTAGATTGATCTTGGTAGTTATGTGTCAGATATTAAATTATTTGAAGATATAGAAACTTTCATCTGTAAAAGATGAGGGTGATGTTCGAAGATGAATATTCGAATGGATCAAAAGTTGATGAGAAAGAACAGATTTTCTGCTGTTCTTCCACTATTGAAATAATTGCGCAACAATAATTGTCACAATGAATCAAAACTTCGTGTTTAAATCTACCACATACCTCCAACCCGCTGACAGAACTGATCTATTATTGAAACAAATGTCTCGTTTTGAACTTTTCAAATAGGCAAGATCAGTTTTCAAATGATTTGTTCCAACGACGAACATCACTTTGATCTGTCATCAGAAACGATGCAAAAGCTTGATATAGTCAATCTTGAACTTCAATGCGGTGATGAATTTCTAAATGTTCACCTTCTGTTCCTGAAAGCACTACAGGAAAAACTAACTATTTACGCTGTCTGATCAACGAAATCGAGGATAAAGAATTGGGCGATGTTCNAACGATGCTTTTTTATTGACATTGAATTGAAATGTAGATAAAATGCATTTTAATCGCTTATTTTTCTAAATTTGTCGAATGTCAACAATCGACGTGCAAATCTTGTCTGTCATCCAGATCACTCAAAGTCACAAATATCGTATTCGATGAATGCAAGCCCTTCATCAAAACTCATTTTTGAGACATTTTTCATTAGAAAACTGAGTTTTTTTTATAATATAGACCAAACTATGTAGGTTAAAAGCAGAGTCTGTTAGATTTCGTGTTCGAATCTACGCAACCGACTGCAATAAAAACTCCGAACTTTTCATGACTTTTCGAAATTGAAAATTCAATCAGTTTATTTTTTACCATCCTCACAAAACTTAGTTCAGAATACTTTAATGTAATTGAGGGTGTGAGGACGTCATATCCAATATAAAGTATATGAATGAATAACGCAAAATTATAGGTGAAAATTTGTGAAATACTTGTAACAAGAGAATACATGATTTATGGACTGTTGTGATACATTGGTTGAGTGAAAAACAATACACAATACAATAGGATCGAGATTTCCAACACGTCAAATAAAATCTATACGATATTGAGATAGACTTTTGTTTCAAAGAGTGTTAAATGAAATGTAAAATACATCATTGCCATTGGTAGCGTTATTGATAGTCGTACTAGATATTTTCCTTAATGAAATCTACAGAAAGAACGGGTCTTCTTAGCATCAATGTCAGAGCGAAGTTTCTTAACAGTATTTATCGCTTCGCTCAAGATGTGTGAGTTTTAGTTTTTGCATGAATTAGAGCGAAAGCACATATTTGTGACTGAATAAAATGTATCCGAAGAAAAGGAAAATTTCAAAAGACTAAACGATAAGAATTTGTCAATTCAATGGAAGAGTTTACGACGCTTGTTGGAAGAAAAATACACATCCAATTCGTTCTTCCACTTCTGAATATGAAAAAAATGTGTCACTAACAGCGAAAGTAAAAAATATACGTATTTTAGTTTGTGAGAAAACAAGACGAGATGCTTGATTTTGAATGAGATTAAGACAGGGTGGAAGAAATCGAATGATACGCACATTCTCTGTTTGATTTATTTCAATTGAGGACGTTTTTCTCTGATCATCAGTGAAGAAGACATGCACACAGAGATGTTCTAAATCTCTCCGAAGATTCGATTTCACCAGAGAAAAGTCAAAACTATTGTATTTTGAACATGAATTCTCATAAGTTCCTTTGAGTAATAATGAAATCATGTATGACTATTCGTTTGATTTACAAGCTAGTATGTTAGTTTTATCTTCAGTTTGACAAAATAGGAAAAAAAATGAAAATATAACTCATGCAATCATCAATGTCTGTNAAGAAATATCGTTTGTTGATGAGACCATTTTCGAAGAATTCTAATCTAAAGAAATTGATTTTGCATTTAAATTCGATTTGATATGTTGAAGGAAAAAAAATCAAGATCAGAGATAACGTGACAATTTTATGATCCATATATCAAAGTGAATTTTGCTTGTATCTCTCATACCATAAGAAACGAAATCGTTAAGTATTTTGAGGGTGAGGATGTAAATTTAGCGAGAATACATATTCTTGCACCTTCACTTCATCAACACAGGTTAGTTTTATTCACAAATTAAATCAAATTTTAAGATACGACGATTTCCCACGGTATCAAATGATAAACCGAACAGATTAGTCAGCTGATTGAATTTTTGTCCATCTCCGTTTCTACCGACAACTATTCCACCTTCTATATCTTCTTCACTCCAACGCATTATTCGGTGGTTATAACAGTGTGTAACATAAATACGACCAGCGCTGTCAACGATTATATCTTTAGAATGATTCAATTGATCAAGATTACTTCCTTCACCATTTCCACCAGTGACAAAACGTCCTGCTTGTCATCTGGTTTCTATCGAACAATTTGATTATATGTCGAATCTGTAATGAAGAAATTTTGATTTTTATCAACAAAGATTCCTGCAGGATAACTGATTTGATTCGGCTCGTGTCTGTTTCGATTTATTGAATGGAATATCTTCAAGCAGAAAAGAAAAGAGATTTTCAGATGGAGATGGCAAGTTTCTCTTAGATGTCTTCCAACTGTGAGAAAGACTGTTGAACGCCAAGAAAAATTCAATAGTTTTGTTGCACTGCTACAAAAGAAAAGTTTCCAACAAATCCCTTTAGATATTCAACATTCATGTTCAAGAGAAACATTCTTGACGACAAACGTGATGATTTAAAATTGGATGATTGTATAACGAATTTTGAATTCGATGAAATACGGTTCTTTTTTTCGTTTCATTTATATTCTTTCTACTTTATTTTTTGATAACAACACTATAAAAACGTTGATGGTGAGTGAAAATTTTCTCTTTCAATAAACTGACCTTTCAATTTCGTCTGAAGTGAAAACAAGAAGACTTTGAGAAAGTATGATAAGAAAAGGCTCGAATTTATCAAAATTGATATCGTTTAATTTAAGAGAAATATGTGTAAGATTGTTTAACGAGTGATATATGATTCACTTATATGTTGTAATACTTTTATGATTCTTCTTAAGCATATGAATGTGAATGTTTGGTTTCTCCCTAATAATGGTATAGTGAGAAGTAAAGTTCAGCATAGTGAAACTTATTTTATATTCTGCGTGTTCTTTTTAAACGTCTGCGTGCTTGGAAGGTCTTTAAAACGATGAACAAAGTAGAAACTATTTTTTAAACTGGCTCTCAATTCTTTTTCATTGAAGAGAAAAACACTCTATGGAAGCATTTTTTCATTTCATCATTTATAGGAGACTGTCTGACACTGTAATTTAGTTGGAAAATTTCTGTGATAGTTTCTCTCCTTTTACAACGATCATATTGTATTTCTTTACAATATATCGTCTTGTATATTGGTTTTTCGTGTGTACGTAAAACTATTTCATACCAGAATCATACACTCATGAAGAGTTCTCGAAAGCTTTGGTCAAAGATATTCGAATTGCTAAATTAAACTCATATTTTATTGACAGATAGGACATTCTTTCAGTGTACATAAAAATAAGAGCGATGAGATGTTTCAAAATTACTTACGAACTTTTATCAGTTTTAGAGTTGATAAAAAATATCCCTAATTTCAATTTCTCATCAATATGATCATGGATAGTGTAGTAGTACTATGCATACCTAAATTCCGAGATAAGAAAGTTTGATTTCTTCTTCTGGCATAGTGAAATTATTAGCATACTGATCTATGGTATTAAAACAAAATGTCTATATACGACGCTTATGCCATTGTTTTTTTCTTTTTTGTTTAAGTGTATCGATTTAAATATATCGAATCTTCAAACTAAGTACGCAAAGAATGGCAACCAATAATGAAAAAACTCATGTCCTTTTCTTTTATCTACAGAACGAAGCAGTTCGTTTTCATTCGCAGATTAAAGGTTTAAAAGAGATGCCGCTGGTTTCACTGGAAGAAGCAATAAAACCGGTGCAACATTTATTCACTTCTCTTAAAACATACGTATGTATTGCTAAAAAGAATTGTCAAAATCCAAAGGATGATCTTACACAAGATAAATCTGCATCGATTTATTTGTATAAAATGGATTTTGATCCTCCTCCTTCTTTCTATCAAGAATTTAATTCAGTATTACAATCTGAACAACGTGATCCACTTCGACCATGGTTATTGCACTTGAGACTTTTTATTACTGCCGCATATAAACTTCCTTCGGAAAAAGCAACTATCTGGCGAGGTGTACGAGACGTAGATTTAAGTTCAAACTACCAAACTGGATCTGATGTTACTTGGTGGGGCGTTAGCTGTTGTACACTTGATATGGAAGTTCTTGCAAATGAGAAATTCTTAGGAAAATATGGAATGCGAACAATATGTTGTATTGAAACTGAAAAGGGTAAAAAGACAACAGCACATTCATGTTTTAGAACTGAACACGAAATTATCCTGATACTTGGTACATGCCTTCGGGTACATAGTAAAACAAATCCAGCTGATAACCTTCATATAATTCATTTGAAAGAAATGATGCTATCATATCAACCGATTGATTTACTGTCAGAATTTTTATCTAAGATGAAAAATACGAAGAAACCTGGCCATGATACTGTCAAAAAATAATATGAAAGAAATTAAAACGGAAGTTCCTCCATCAAAATCAAAACACCTACCAAGTAAGTGCTACACTATGATATGAATATCTCATGGATTTTTTCATAAGGATAATTTTTGTTCTTTGAAATACAAAAATGAAAATAAAATTATTCAGAAACAATCATTATACAAAAAAACAATTTATAATATTCGCAAATAATTTTATCTGTGAAGTTAAGATAGCGAGAAGTAAGACAGATTACATCGATCAAAATTTATTCTCAAGATAGATATCCGATAGTTAGAACATTTTTGTATTGAATTACAACGTATGAAATTTTATTTATATTCTTGTTTTTCACATAATTGAGTAGTGATTAAAAATCTTCTTCACTTATACAGAACAAACTATTCCTGTACAAGTGGCATGGAATTCAACCTCAAATATCGAGACAGAGAGAAGAAGATCAGTGCACATGCCTCGGACTTTACCTACTTTCACAAAAGATGAAAGTGAAAATAGGAAGACAACTGCAATGACAACTATTATTGTTCTTATTTTGTTAACATTTTTGCCTATTGCAACATCAACTGTCGGGCAAATTTATAAGAATGATTGTCCAATTCAAACATGGATACCACAATGAATGATTGTCTTCGGCGCTGTTGGTTTGGCAACTTTTGGCTTTTTGGCAATCACAGTAAAGCTTAAGATTTTTCATTGTACGCTTATGATAATTATTTTTAGATGATGATTACCATTTGTTGTTGTTCTGAAGATAGTTGTGACTCTAGTCAGGGGATCAGTACATGTTTTCTATGTTTATTGATTTTATTTTTTTTTGCATGGTTAATTGCAGTAAGTAATAAAATCTTAGAGAAAAAATACATTAATCATTATACACATTTCTAACTTTCAGGGTAGCGTTTGGATATTTCCAGTTTATAAAACGTTTCAATCTAATGATACAAATTCAACAAGCTACTGTTCAGACACTTTATATAAATTTACTTTTGGAACTCTTCTCGCACAGTACTCATTGATTGGATTGATTATTTGTTGTGGTGGTGGTTGTGTAGGTTTCATTCTATGGTGCAATAGATTAATAATACATCATATTTATTGAAATGACATTTAATAGTTCATTGATTTGTACCAGAGTTTTCTGGTATCTCTTCAAAAATAAAAGATCTTTCATTTTTCCCCCAGACAATTTCATTATTTTGAAGTACCGCTTTTGCTCAAATAATTATTTATAGTTAGCACGTGTAATTCAAGAAATTATTGGCATTCATCGTAGAGATTGAAAGAATTCATATGACGAGCAATTCCATTCTGGCATTTTCTTCTAATTGATCTTTCGTTAAGTATCGGTAGTTTTATTCTTTTAATATATTTTTTTCAAAAATCAAGTAGCTCGACAATCCTTAAATAATCATGGTTTATTATTTGACTTAGAAGTTGAATTCGTGGATATGCACATCTCAACTCGCATTTATAATCAGTTGAAATACTGTAAAACCGTCAATAATCGAACGACATGTATACAATATTTGGGTGCTGATAAAAGAAGTTGAACAATTTTCTGCTCATTATTTACCTTCAACCATTATTCTTTTGTATACATTTTGATTTACTATATCTATACTATTTTTCTGTTTCCGTGTAAGAATCCGTATTATTACAAGATTCAGACAAAAAAATTCAATGGCGTCATCATCGTAAGATGAATTAGAATATATTTGTACAAAAGAGGAATTATACACGATTATTGAAAATGAAGTTATTGTAGTATAAACAACGTCGTGTTAGTACCAAAACTATAAACTATAGGACAATTACAATACGGATTGAATAGTCGTATGAGAAAATGTCTAGCGGCTCTATGGTGTATCCATATTTACATCTATTAGTATTTTTCTCTTTGTTAAATAAGTTCGCTTAAAGAAGACTAAAATCTTAGCTACTTGTTTGCCTATAACCTTGTGTTCACATAAAATTCCATCATATGATCTTTCGACGGATAAGCAAATATTAACCGTATTAGAACAGTTGATAATTCTTCAAGCACAATTTTTACAATAAATTCTATAGTTGAAATACCACAATAATAATAACCTTGATTAGGTTTGTTCATACTGTAAGCAATATGATACGGAGTATGGCCGAGAATATAACCAATTAGTAATTCGAAAATAAATAAATGTGTATGTAATAATTTGAAAAAAGGTTTTTATTAACGAACCTTTCTTTATTCCATAATGACACGAAGAATATTTGCTTAATAAATTCAATTATAAATCGGAGAAAAACTCGGAGCATGTGTTGGAAAAGAGCGTGAAATGCTCATTCTGGTAGAATATTTTTGATTCTCTTCAATATGAATGAATTATACATGATTAAAGACTGACTGAACGTGTGTAATATGTCTGCGTGCATATTTTCAGATCTATTGATTTCAAAAGTTCTGTGACTTGTTTATACATACTTTATTTCACAAGGGTCTTTGAGTACGGGCATGACTTTATGTGCAATGACCTTTTTTACAGAATTAATACGCATCATTAGTTGCATTGTATTACGAATGTATAGATTATTCGTTTGATTTTAGGTTTTTTTCTTTCTCTTTTCCAACTCGTAGGGCGACTGTATAAAAACTGAGCTATCACCATAATATTACAAACATACCTTTCTTCTCCGTTGGTTATACGTTTTTGATTGATTCTTACACAAACAAGTATAAGTACGAGATGGGCAACATCAAATTAATGCTGTATTTAGTTCTTATCTGTGGATTGTTGGCAATATCCTGTAAGTCACGATACATAAAAGAAGATTCGGCAGATATTAATCTTGCCAATGCTCGATGAGCTCTTCTCAAGAATCTTATTCGAGAGATCGTAGAAGAACGTGGTGGTGATGATAATGATGCTAATAATCCTATGTGTTCTAATGGTGTTCGTTTTGACGACGGTTTCTTTTCTCGTAATGGTACTTGTTTTATGGATGATTCTTGCTGCAGTGGTCATTGCAAGATTACTGTTTATGCCGAAGATGGTTCTCCTGGTCACGGTATCTGTGTTGATGCACCGAAGCGCAAGCGAACAAAGTAAGCTATAACATGATATCGTCTCGTTCGATAGCATATCGTCTTCTTTTTTTTATAGGATTTACGGCACACGAGTCAATCGACACTGAAGATTCAAGAATATCATCAATTCTGATCAATACTAAAAGACATCATCCAGTAGTTAGCATTCCTTTCTTTCTCTCACACACTCACCACGTTTATCCGCTATATTTTATTCTTTATATATTTTGAATTGATTATTTTTAATTTTTCTGTACTCTTCACAATCTTTAATTTTAATAAAATCTATAGATTGAAAGTATATTCAGCTTATCATTATATAACTACAAAGTTGTCAATTGATTTCGACATCAGAATTGAAAACTTACAAATCGTATCATGCACATCCAAAAGAATATTTAGATTATATCGAACAATATTTCGATTCAAAATTCAAATGCTTTCTTCTCTATTGTATCGATAGTATTATAATAATACATAAACATCAATTAAATCTAAATATCACTTTACAGGTAGTTAATGAGTGTAAGGAAGGATGGATTATTCATGAAAGTAATGAGAGAAAATTGGGTATTAATTCAATATCTTTTGTGTGATGAACAATTATATTCATCTGTCAGGTAATTTCATAAAGTTTTTCAAAACAAAATATTCAATACAATTACAAGAAAAAAGACATGAAATAGAAAAGGATAATCCATTAGAAATTATTGTTAATCATCGAAGTTTTACGTTTTGTTTATAAAGATTCATTAAATGGAGAAATTATTTTTCATACTTTTAATTATCAAATTCAAAACTTTCATCATACTTCTTGATTTTATAATTAAAATAATTGAGTATGTGTTACTTCAGGATATCAATGTATTCGTATAATGTTCGTTTTGAATACTTTGAAATATTTTAATAATCCAAAAGAAAACTTGAAATACTTGAACAATTTATTACGATGAAACATTATTTAAATATAGGAGAAAACGTCGAAAAAAATAGTCCGTATCGTTTTTCCACTGAAGAATGAACGAATTTATGGATTTAAATGTATTTTTACGAAGGAGTTTTAACAATTCATAATATATTTTTATTTCCTTTAGTTTTTTGAAAATTTCAAGCGTATTATGAGTGAAATACATGATAAATTGATATTCTAACAGTATCACACCGATTATTACTATCCTCTCATCCGACAATTGGAACAACATACAATACTATTGATCAATTATATTTTCAAATGAAAATCTATGATCAAACACTTGAATATTTTCTAGAAGTTCTTTCACTTATGTTATCAACACAACAAAACAATCATTATCATTTAGTTTTTCTTCATGCAAGTATTGCAACTATATATATATTATGAAAGATGATAGATCAAATGCTGCTGACTATCTTCTAAAAGCTGAAGAAATTCTTCATCAATCAATATTAACCATTGATTCTAATGCATGTACCGATATTTATCGAACAGTTACAATTCTTTTAGGTCAAATCAATTTCATCGACCGTCGCTCTCAAGATTTGTTTTCTATTACTTTTCTCTTATGTCGAGGTATATACGACGTGACTGTTGTATTTTCTTTTTCTTCTTATCTGTGAAACTATTGTTATTTAGTTAGAATTGAATTTCTATCGATGCCGATGTTATCTTAACATAATAAATGACACCGTTCGTTTGTTATTATTCTCTTTTACATTAAAGTTCTTTTAGATTCATTATCATCTTCATCCACAACATTCTAAAGACTAAAACATGAGTAAAAACATATTTATTCAATTATCAAATTCAACAAAAGAATCGTCACATTTCGATGATTTTGAATATCCTTTACAATGTACATTCGATATCTATGGTTATAATGCGTTATCGAAAACATATGAATTCATCTATAACCGTCAAATGAACATACAATATGGTGCTTTAATCGGTGGATTAAATCTGCATTTGAATATCTTGAATTGGCAAAAACATCATTATAGATTGTATCTTAGTGCAAAAGATAGAGACAGAAAATTTAAATGCATCTCATCTATCACACTTACTCAACATGGTTTAGTTGACGAAAATAATCCTAAGCATCTTAACACATTCCTGTTAGAGATTGATGGTTAATACTATCGGATGATACCGTTTTTAATGATAAAGATCAAATCACAATCAACATCATAAGAGAAGAATTCTTTTAAATGTTCAACATTTCTTTTTTTTATTTGAGAAACCTTTTCATTTTCGTCTGATACGAAGTATATTGGTTCTCATTTAAAAAATAAATTTTTAATAGATATTTGATTAATTTCTATTTAATTATTTTTACTAATAGTGAGGTAATTTATTCTCAGTAGTAGTCGAAGAATAAATGCGTTAGACATGGAGTAGAAGACGAAAAATTCTGTAAACACATGTTGGATAACACATACTATCGATATTTTTCTTTTTCTTTTTTCTTTTCTTCTGTTCGAATTAGTCCGTTCAGGACGAGAAAAATGTGGAAGAAAAAGAAAATTAATCGTTAAGCATAACGGACGAACATATGCTTTTGTTTATGTGAATATGTATATAACTCTACTCAAATCTACACAGT